AAAAATGTAATCGAAAATAAATTATGAAAGGGCTTACCCTTGAAAAACACTGTACTTCCCTTTGTAATTTGTACGCCCTTTTGATCGAAGGTGACCGTGAATCCAGCTTCCTGGATTTTCTTCACGGACAATAAATTATGAGGAACTTCAGGGCAGAATAGAACGTCCTCGAGAAGTCCGCTGAACCCGGATTGAGTCGTAACGTTGATATTCCCTTTTTTAAGGGCAGTGATGAAGGCTCCACTCTTTGCGATGGCAATCTTCATTGGAGGATCTAGTGTCACGCTGCTGTTGAAGAATGCATCAGTTTTTGAAATATGGGCCGATGCTCCAGAATCCAGGATCCAGAATCCAGCTTCTTGATTTCCTTGAGATTCACCCGCCATGAAGGCAAAAGCAGAGATATTTGCACTTTCGGGTGAATAGTCATCTTTATCTTTAACTTTCACGCTCTTTAAGTTGGGTCTCGGTGAATTTTGGCTCGATTGATTGCGTCTGTAAATGCAATCCTTGATCACGTGATTTTTACGGCCACAATGGAAACATCCCATTGATTTCTTCTGAAAAGGTTTGAAGTTATTCTTCTTCTTAATGTTCGGATTGAACTTTTGAGAATTGAACTTTGAACCCTTTAGTGGGAACTTTCGTTTTTGGTGGTCCAAGAGGAGGACTTTGGGGCTTGTATCATCATCACCCTTCAGCTTTGTTTCATGATCAAGTAGCCTTGTCTTAACAAAAGCTAATGTCAAGTTGTTTTCTGACAAAGTCTCGATAGCTGTAACGATACCATCATAGCTGCTTGGCAACGTCACTAAAAGGTGAGCCACCTTATCAGATTCGGTCAACGTGGCGCCAGCGGCACTCAGCTCAGTCATCAAATCGTCAAAAACTGTGAAGAATTTCATTAAATCTGACTGTCCTTGGAATTTTAACGCGAGCAACTTCTTTTTAATCGATATTTGCGCGGCCAAACTCTTCCTCTCGTAAATGGCATCTAAACTTAAGAAAATGTCTCGTGCACTTTTTTCGTTGCTAACGAAGTGAATGTGAGAGTCCGCGAGATACTCGAGAATTACATTTTTCGCTTTTAGGTCCGAATCGTCCGAGATTTCACTTGCACCACTTGCAACACTGTTATCGCCCGACGCGGTCTGAGTCGTAACCGTGGTTACCGAGTCTACGGCGGATAAGACTTTTAACTCGGCCAAGACCGCTCGCACTCGCAACTTCCAAATTGAGTATTTGGTACCGTCGAACGGCTTAATATTTCTTTTAGTTTTATGGTCACCACTCATTGTTAATTGGACACTTAATGAAATCACGAATAAAAACTGCACTGCTCTGGGCCCATAACCTAAAGGCTAAAGGTAAAAGCTAAAGGTGGTATGGAAAGAAATAACACTCGGAGGACGCTTTTAGATCACCTTTATGGGCAAGGTATCATACCGAACTGAAACTGAGAAATGAAAAACTGGAGGAATCAAAACTTTACAAAACAGCTGACGCTTTTCGCCAACAGCTTGCTCCACCATTTGATGGATTTCCTAGAAAATTTATAAGATGCATTTTATTGCATTTGCATTTGTAAGATGCAAATATATTTTTGTGAAATTCACCGTTTCTGGCAAGTTCGAAAGCACCTTTGTTGTCTTCAAAAATTGGAACAGGATGATCAAAATTTATTCCTAACTCGGTTAACAACCCTTTGCTCGGTAATAGTTTTGTAACACATTCAGAAAGAGCTTAGCACTCTGCATGAGACGTGGCGATTGATACGACTTTTTGTGTTTGAGATTTCCAAAGTATGGGCGTGCTGTTTATTCTTATCAAAATTCCAGAGGTAAATTTACGATCATCAAGATCTGAAGCAAGGTCTGAGTCTACATAAGCGTCTAATTTTACATCACCATTTCCATTGAATTCAAGCCTTAAGTCTCAGGTATGATACAGATATTGCAGAATTCTAAGAGCATATTTGTAATGTATTGGCGAACAGGCATTTTGAAATCTGCTTAAAAAATTTACTGAAAACGAAACGTCCGCCCTTGTGCCATTTGAAGAATATTGGGAGGATCAGGAACCTCCAAAGGAACCGCAGGAGAAATAATACTCACTTTTGGAAGGGACCAAACTTTTATATCAGATGAAAAACTAAAGAGAACAATGAATTCAAGACTTCCTCTTTTTCGACAACAACAAAGTTAACATTATTTTTCACAAAAGAAACTCCTCCCTTTCCGAAGCTCCATCAGCTGATGCCGATCGGGGCTTGGACATCCAGCCCGCCCGGAACCCCTTTAGGGGTTCAGACCGAGACAGACATCCACCCCCTACCAGGCATCATCCTGAAGAGCCTAGAAAGGGAGGTTATTAGCACTGAACCAGGGGAGGAACCTAATTAATATCGAGGATGGCCCCTCCGCCTGGGTTCAGGCGGGCCACAGCCCATAGATGTCTCGGTAAGGTTAATTTGATGGCCTCAATTCTTTCTGCGAGCGCCGCAACAGACAACGTTTCCAAACTCATCTCTTCATGTCGCCTTGCCTCATGTCTCTCTTCTTCTCTCCTCTGTGGCCTTGCCCTCTCCAGAATGCGCCAATCCTCTCGTCTCTGTGCTTCTTCTTCCTCCTCAGTGTCATCATTCATTGCATTCCTATCTGTCGGTGGTGGCCGTATTGCTTTATGCAATTCTTCCATGGCCCGATCTTTAACATTTTGTGCCAGGGAAATTCTACAGATTGGGCATTTTTGTAATCGAGCTCGGCATTGGTGACAAATTCGATGCCCGTTACCGCACAACTCGAACGGGGGCTCAGCGGTGAATAAACAAATGGGACACTTCGTAACCGCTTTCCATCGTTTCAAAATTCGCGTTAAGGATCATTCTCAACCTCTCTCAGGTCCTTTTCCATGTGTTGCAGCTGAATATGCATGACTTTGTCGGGATCGTTATTATTTACTAAGGCCCGATATGAGTTAAATAATTTACACCCACATGCAATTCGCGCCACGAGAGGCACTGAAGAGATTGAAGTCACTACAGTCCAATAATCTTGGACTATTTAAAATTGAAATAAATCGGAGAAAATTAGACCTGGGTCATCCATTGAGGTGGAGATGTTGTATAATGGCCTTTGACCCTCCTCTTCTGGTTCCGGATCATTGCAGCTGTGTATTGGTACCCAATTCACTACAAATTTCTATAGTTAATAGATGTATCAGTATTATCAGAGGGCATTAGTTATAAATTTTCCTTCATAGGCTTGCCCAAAGCAAGAGGTTTGATGAGTACCTTGGACAAATAAATGTTAACAGTTTCATCTGCTCTAGTAAAAAATTTAACTTGGTAAGTTTTGATGACTCAGTTTCAACCGAGGGGTTCTCTGGCGATGGAGTCCAGAGTTTTAAAATTAGTTCCGTTTGCTCAACCAAAGCTTGGTTGTCATTTGCAAAACTGCTAATGTCTGTGGGAGAAATTGCATTCACATGACTCATGAGGCTTTCAAATGCAGTCCAATACTTCAGCTCATTACTTTTGCTAAGGAAACCTTTAAATCTTGAAGAGGGAAGGCAATTGTTTCTGAAATATACTTGCTTTTTCAGATTACAAAAAATTTTGACGCTGCACATTATTTCCGGGACATCGTTCAAACTGGCATTGACTTTAAAGAGCAAAATAAAATCGTTGTAGATCTTGTGATCAAATGTTGAGGATGCAATTTTGCTTTGAAACTTACTAAGGAAATCTGGAAAGTCTTTAATCTCATCCGTAGCACACCAATCGTTAAATTCTGCTTCTTCCCTGGCAACCAACGACTGGTGTCTATCCTCTGGAGGTTTCCTTTTGGTTGGTGGGTCAGTAGTGAAGTAGCTCGGCTGATTCGGGAAAACGCAGGGAGCAGCATCATCAGTTAATCTTGGCCGCTCGAGTTCTACAATTTCTTCAATCCCTACATTTTTCTTCTTCACAGTTCGAATGATTTGTGACTCTTTAAAGTGCAAAATGCAAACACATGTGTTCTTGGTAACTTCAAAGTCTCGTGACCGATGAATGGCATTTATCCACTTACACTTCAGTTGCTCATTTTCGGGAAAAGAAAATGTGGAAAACTTTTCCTTACAAGACTGGTACCCAGTCTTAAAACCAGGGACACTGCAAGCACGACCCATTTTAGGTGATCACAAACACTTCCTACAGCACTTTTTGTCACAAGTTCTGGAGGCTAACAAACTGTTGCTAATCCATTTCAGCACCACTTCCGTTGTCACGATAGATTTCAGAGAACACGAAATTCACTCACAAAGTACGACGAAAATAATCTCAATTGAGTAACTGACCACGTGAGAGTCATGCCGACCGAACCGAAACAGGTGCATGTTTGATGCAACATTGCGAAAACCGCTCGATAATCTTGCCGAATTTGCTCAAATAAACGATGAACTGAACACGATGCCACATGAACACTTCCTGACACGACATGCGACCATTGAGAAAAAAAAAAGACTTCTTCAAACTACTAGAAACGTGTTAAATGAAATGCCAAATCCGAGTACGAAATCCGACTTCCGGCAGCCATTCGAGAAACTACGGAAACTAGCACCACTGTCGAAAATCGAAAACAACAACATTCCGGAAGTGAGGGGGCCTCTATATCTCAGAGCCTACGCTTTTATTCATTTAAAATACTTATACAATTTCCATTCTATTAATTAATTTATTTATTTATTTATTACATTTTGATACATGGGAGCCGTGAGGCTATAGTATAGGTCAATTCAGGTACAGTAAAGTTTTTTTTAATCAACTAAAAAGTATTAAATTTCTAAGATAACAATCCGAAAGCACAGAATATTGTTTACAACTCTCAAGAGAGGGCTAGAATTACCTCAGTAGTACCAAGAGTTTGAGAAGATGTTTGGGTTGCCTTTAATTAATATGATGAGTTTAATAGAAATTTATGATGGATTGAAATGAATTGCAACCAAAACAACTTTCACCTTCTTACCTAATTTATTCTAGATAAGGAATTCAAGGGAAATTAAATGAAGAGTCGGACTCAGTACGTTTGAAGTCTTTCGGCTATGTATATTGAGGAAAATAACAGATTTAGTATTACAGAAATTACAAGATAAATGAAGTTACAATTAATGAATTTACAGGTAAATTGGTTACGGAAATTTTAGTATGAAAGTTGGAGTGGAAAAATTGGTAGAGGAAAGATATGGGAAATAATGAAGGATTTTAGGATGATGAGATGTTTTACCTTAGCGCACCATAAACTGAAGATGTTGAAGTTTTGCAAGTAACGTACGCTGTCGAATTTGCGTGTAACGAACGCGGTCGGATTTGCGTGTAACGTACGCGGTCGAATGTAACTTACGTGTTACCACCGATTTAACACTTAACGCGTGTAAAACGAGTGAGTGTAAAGTACTCGGACTATTTGTGTTGTGCGTAACACCGTCGAAGGTTTGAGTTGTAACGAAACTCGATCGCAGTTACTGAATTGTAACCGGAGCCTTAACGAGACTCAATCGAAGGTTTGAGTTGTAATGAAACTCCATCGCAGTTACTAAATTGTAACCGGAGCCTTGACGAGACTCAATCGAAGTCACTAAATTGTGGCATAGTGCTTGAGGGCACAACCCTGGGTTTGGAGCAGAGATGCTTTAAGTAAGAAGGATAAAATAAGATTGAGTCAAGAGCGCATCGAGATTTGCTGAGGACATCTCGGACGCTTGACAGCGCAGGACATGAATTTGTCATTGCATGAAGAATCTCGGCGTCTGCGTTATTGATTTGAGGTGACTCATCAAGAAAGGCGAGGGAAAGAATTCAGTTAGCAACAGAGACTTCGGTTAGCAACAGAATTATTGACCTCACAGCGATTGATATGACTTTTTGTGTTTGAGATTTCCAAAGTATGGGCGTGTCGTTTATTCTTATCGAAATTCCAGAGGTAGATTTACGATCAACAAGATCTGAAGCAAGGTCTGAGTCTACATACGCGTCTAATTTTACATCACCATTTCCATTGAATTCAGGCCTTAAGTTTCGGGTATGATACAGATATTGCAGAATTCTAAGAGCATATTTGTAATGTATTGGCGAACAGGCATTTTGAAATAGCATAGTCAATAGATGTATCAGTATTATCAGAGGGCATTAGTTTTAAACTTTCCTTCATAGGGGTGGCATAATTTTTACTATCGATTACACCAAACTTTTCTGCTGCACTGATTATGTAATCTGTTCGGTTCACAGTAAGTTTTCAATGTATTAAGTCATGTTCAATTTCTAGACCTAGGTAGCGTTTTACAGGTCCTAAATCCGTCATTTTGAAACGTTGAGAAAGTATTTTTTTGACATATTTAATCAGTTTTTCATTTGAAGGTAGGATAAGGAGATCATTGACATAAAGCAGAATATACACAATTTCTGTACCTATTTTTAAGTAATATAAACAATAATCATAACTCGAGCGTACAAAATTATTTGAGAACACAAATTCGTGGAAACATTCACACCAATCTCTTGGTGATTCTCTCCGACCATAAAGAAAATTATTTAGTTTTAAAACTTTGTTTGGATCGATATTAAAGCCTGGCGGAGGATAAACATAGACATCACCTTTAACTTTGCCATTCAAAAAAGCAGTTTGAAAATCCATTTGATGAATCATTAAGTTAAAAGTACATGCAAGAGCTAAAACTATTTTGAAAGAACATAAACGGGCAACTGGAGAATAAATTGCTTCATCCAAGCTAGAATGTTGCTGGTAACCTCGTGCGACAACACGGGCTTTAAATTTGCCATCAGGCTTAATTTTGTAAATCCATTTTGTTTCGATAATTTCTTCGTTATCGAGAGGGTCAACTTGTTGCCGAGTATCATTTTCTTCGAAACTGTTCAATTCATCATTCATAGCTTCTTGCCAATTTACATGATCTGGAGAGATAATTGTTTGTTTATAGTTATCAGGGACAGCAATATTACAAACATTTGCAAAAATAGGGTCTTCGATAAGGCGTCTTGGTGGGGNGGGGGGGGGGGGGGCTGCACCACCCGTTTCACTTGCATAACTAATTTTACTTCAGACAAGCCATTTAATAGGAGGCTAGAGATCGTCGTAAAAGGAACATTTTTGATCCCATGGTCTTCCCCAAGTTTTTGTTTATTTTGGTTGACTCTGCTGGCGTGCAGTGCTCCTGGTGAATCTTTAGGGATTAATGCATCAAAAAAGTTCCTCTTCATTTTCGTTTCTTGAGAGAATTGTTTAGGATTAATTGAGTTAATTGGAGCAGTATCTTCCGAAAGCATAGTTTGTGTTTTGCTGAAGCACCTTCACCAGTTACTGGTCTTTGTTGTCTCTGTGCGTTTAAAAACAATGATCTTCAAGAAGTTACTGCGCAGACTGGTCAGCTTGTGGTCCACAAGCTCTGAAACAATTAGGGTCATAGCATTTGCTTGTCTCTTTCGCCTAGCACAATTGATGCACCCTCTTCTTGAGGGAATGCTCAAGAGGATGTACATCAGTTATTTTGCCAATTGCAAATTTATGTCACCAACCACGCTCTGCTACCATGTTGAAGTAATACAATAAAAAGACAGGTTTATTACTGAAAGCCTATGCGGAGGCATTTTTATTCATTTAAAATACTTATAAAATTTCCATTCTATTAATTAAATAACTTAAACAACTTAATTGGCTGCGATCATGAGCGGATATAATAAGCTGATAAGAGGGGTAGATGACCGATGAGATTCGGCACACCGATCGATCAATGATCGGCAGGAAATTACAAATTCAACACACCTAGCAAGAGCTATAGTCCCTATGCTGTTGACATGACTACCAACTTAGGATACAACAGCGATCGATGGATCTCTTTGACTGCCAATGTGAAAAAGTCCCATCTTGGCCCTCCAACATCAAGAGCTTCCTCAATGTATGTAGTTGCAGGGGAGTTATCATCAAGTTTTGTTTCACTAATGAACTGAATGAGTAATTTTTGGGACGGTTTGAAATATTTGCGGCTGAAGCCAATAAAAGCTGATTCTAATACATTCAATCTGCTGATGATCACTTTCTTTGGTTGGACATCAGCAGAAGTAGAAATTTGTGCCTCTAGAAAGCTTAAAGCCTCCGAAATTGACATGCCTGTATCTTTTGGCTCAACAGGGTCTAATTTTGTAAAATTGCCTTGCTGTGGATAAATGAGCAGCATATCAACATATTGTGTGGAAGAAGGGGCGCCAGAGTTTCTGAGTTTTGACTGGCTAGAAGGTAGGATGGTTGTAGATTTTGTGATGGAAGTTGGTGTGCTGGAAGGTGGCGCGGAGAAGGGTGGCATTCTGGACAGTTGCCCACTGAGACTGGTTGGGGGGCCCGCATCCTAAGGTGAAACACTAAGGCCTTGTCTCGATGGCGCAACTGTTGTGTGTTTGTTGCACCAACCGAGGTTCCCTATCTGGACACACGGCTATATTTTCCCGGAACATCTAGGCGGTATGTTGCTGACACCAATCCTTGTCTCCGTTGTATCTCTAAGAAATTTCAATTCCTCAAAGCACCATAGCTCACGGCGATTTTTCTTTGCATCCCCCATGCGGCATTTCCGCGCCTTCAACTCACGTCTCAATTGGGCTTTCAGAGATTTGAATTTTGCCACTATTTCAGCACCTAAAAAGTAAAAATGCCAGAGTGAAATTACAATGCAGAGGGAAATAATAGTATTTCATGTATCAATGTTAGTTTTCGTGGGTTGAATAAGTGCACTAGTGGCATTTGGCTGGTTACTTTTCCTGACAACATTCAATACTACTTTTCCTGTTGTGGGTGTTGCACTTTTAATATTGTTGTGAACAACGACTAATTGCGGACGATCTTCTTGGTCCATTTTAATTGCGAGAATAAATGATCTTAATTACACAAGATTTAATAATAAAAGCGCGCGATAACAACTACTCTGATACTCTGAAACGTTTTTTAGTAATTCGCCATATTGGAAATGCGAATACGGCGATGGATGGTGAAACCTTACTTTGAACAAAAAAGTGCGGCCTGTCAAAATTTGATGGTAGATGGTGACCATCAGTCATCAGCATATCTACTTTGATCGGAATTGGTTCAGAATTTGATCGTTTATCCAGGGCTAAAAACCCATCTTGACATGGCTGAACATAATCTTCTGTTGATTGGAGTAATGCGCCCTCCGCCGATTTATGCACTTCTCTGTCTGCGGTTCTTGGTGGTACCTCTCTCCTGGATGAATTATGGTTTTCATCATTATTGTCTGAGCCTCCGCCTTGCGGATGTTCTGGTTCATCAAATCTTTGGCTGTTCTCGACAAGTTCAAAGAAGGTGTCATCATCATCAATAGCATCCGTGAAAAGTACTCCCTCTTCATCTCCAATGTGAAAATCATTCTAATTGTTATCATTTCTTCATAATTCATAATCTCAATCTTCATAATCTTCCAATTTCACACTTTAGGATTAGATGACTTAATGACACAGATATTAACAGTTTTTTTCTCTTCAGAACTTTAAATGTAAAGTTTAATGTAAATGTAAATTTACATACTGTAAATGTACTTCTATAAATGTAAAATGTGAGGCCTAAATCACGATTTATATGGCTATTCAAGCTATATCACACAAGGGAAAGAAGGAGAAAAAGAAAAAAAATTGGCTGAACAGCCTTTGCCAATGAAAATCAGTACATTTTTTTATTTATTTATTATGCAAGTACACCTCCTTTCAGCTACAAGAATCAACAGTGAGGCTGATTTGCAAAAGCTAAATATTCTGATAATTCTAGGTGTCAAATAATGAAAATTTCTACGATCCTCAGCATTATACTTTCAAAAAGTCTATAATTACAAGTTAGCTTATTTTTTACACTATTTCACTTTTAAACTTAAGTTTAAAAGAGCAGAGTGAACATCTTGATCACTGTCAATACATTTCTTAATTGGTTTTTTAACAGACCTAACTGTATTTCCAACCTGGCCATTAGACTTAAGGTATAGGGGAGAGGAAGTATCATGATGAATTTGCCATTCTGATGTAAAATGTGCAAATTCTTTAGAATTGAACGGTAAACCATTATCTAACATAATTTTAACTGGTATGCCATGGCGACAGGATACGGATTTTAAGGCATTTATTACAAATTGACTTGTTGAAGCCCTTTTTAAGGAGACTACCTCTGGATATTTGCAGTAATAGTTCACAAGAAGAAGATATTTTTTGCCGCTGATTTCGAAAAGATCAATGACAACTTTTTCGAAAGGTAAATTAGGTATTTTATGTAGTTGAAGAGGTTGTTTCTGATTGTTGCTGGAGACTTTCATGCATGTTTCACAACTGCAGCAAATATTTTGAATGTTTAATTTCATGAACGGCCAGGAAACTAATGACTTAGCTCTTTTAAAACATGCCTTAAACCCCAAGTGACCCTCATGAATATTTACCAAGATTTCTGGACGTTTTGATTTGGGTATGATTATACAATGTAAACTGAAAATCAGGCCATTGTGCACCTGAATTTGGTCTTTATATTGAAAGTAAGGTTTCACTAGATCATGACAATTGTGTTTTGAGGGCCAACCTTCTAAATAATATTGTTTAAGAAGATTCAAAACCTCGTCATCTGCAGTAGCATTTTTGAATTCTTCCTTTTTCTCCTCTGACACAGCCAAGTCAATGGAAAAATCAAGGATTGCAATTTGGTATTCTAAATCCTTCTCGATTTCAAGGGAATCTGGTAAATTTTCTTTAAGGGGTGCCCTGCTAAGAGTATCAGCAACCAACAACTTTTTGCCTGGCACATACTTGACGGAAAGATCATAACGTTCGAGTTTAAGCATAATATGTTGAAGTCTTAAGGGGATATCTTTGTAAGGTTTCCGAAAGAGAGTTATTGATGGTTTGTGGTCAGATTTAACATATATTCTTTGACCATAAAAGAATCGATCAAATTCTTTACAACAAAAATATATAGCTAGCAATTCTTTTTGTATCTGCATCCTTACTATTTGTGAAGGTGTTAGAGTAGTGGAGCTAAAAGAAATTGGTCGCTTAATTTGACTAATAACAGCACCGAGAACATCTTTAGATGCATCGACAGACAGGGTCACGGGCTTCTTGGCATCATAATTTGCAAGAATCGGCACATCACATATAAAATCTTTAAGGTTGTCAAACTCTATTTGATGATTAGGTGCCCATTGCCAAAGGCTATCTTTCTTCAACAATTTACGCAGATTTTCAGTCTTGAGAGCTAATGTCAGAATGAAAGATGCAAGATAATTTATGGTGCTGAGAAACCTCTGCAAGCCTTTCTTGTCGATAGGAGGAAATAATTCCTTGATTGCTTTGATCCGATCTGGATCTATTTCTACTTGACCTTTTTTTAAATATGTATGTAGTCTGAAGCTTGACAGACCCTGACATTCTTTCCTCATCTATCATATATATAAGCTCCAAGACCTCCTAATTTTTATATTTTCCTGTGATTTTTTTTTTATATTGTTAGTGTAATTTTTGAATTTTTGAAATTATATAAAATCCATGATTTACATTGCATCATTATTTTTGTTTTTCCTGAATCATTCCAACCTTTGTCAGTTACGTGGTATGATCAAAACGTCCTTGTGACTTTCTCTTCACTGCTTTAAAAATTATATAGAGTTGAGCCAGGGTGTTTTTGGAAACTCAAAACCTTGGAAATACAGCAGTATATCTGTTCTAGTGATAGCTTAATTAACTAGTTTTCTAAAAGTGCTCATCTTAAGTTGCACATGCTTGTGTGGCGGATCATTCAATAAGTTTTCCCATTTTCCTTAAAGGACTATTCAGGGTAAAAAAATTCCAGTTAAATTGCAAAAAATAACTTTAACTATAAGCCTTTTACAGGCAAACATATTACTTTTTATCTCTAAAATAATAATTTGCTTTCAAGTAGGCTTTAAAAAAGAAGGTAATTTTTCCCTTGTATAAATACACACTTAACAAAGGAAATTTTTTGAGGCATTGCAAACAATTTCAATCCTTGAGCAACTGATCAGTCAAAAAACCAACATGAATACATGCATTATTAGACAACTGAAATCATGGGCTTTTTAAAAGGCCCAAGATCGACTCTAAACAATCACATGCCTGGAATAGCAAATAGTTTTCTTATCGCTACTTACTAAAAAATTGTCAATTGAAAGGAAAAAGGTTGTGTACATTTTATTACAATACATTTATAAAGTTTTTTTAAAACAAAGAGAAAGTTGCTCAATTTTGAAAATCTTGCAATTGCTCCGGCTCCCCTCTGCTAACTGCAATTCAATTGGTATGGCTGATCAGTTTATTTCTTCTTTTGACTCATGTTTAACATCGGCGCCAAGATGTCAGAAAAAAATAGACTCATTTATAAAAATACTTAACTTTTTTAAAATTAGTTTCATGTTTCGATTCACTCGGAGAAAACAAATAATTTAACATTTTCTTTAATTTAGAAAAAGAACTTCATTCAACACTAAATTTCTGGGAAAATGTTGAAATACTCCCAAAAAGGTCGTCAATCAGCAAGAATGAAAACGCACCAACTCCAAAAAATAAAAATTTCCGAGAGACACAAGAAACTGCGCAGAAAAGGAAAAGCTTTTTGGTGCCTAAGGACAAATATTTTGGGACACTTTAAAGGCCCAAGTTGAAACAGGTGCACCATCCTCAATAGCTCTCATGAAATTTGGGCATTTTTATGATTTTAAGTCGGTGTATTTTCATTCTCTGATCTAATTGTCTTCGAAAGAATGTCAAAAAGGGTTTCTTATAACCAACATTGCATAAGTAGATTCGGTAAGTATCTGTAGGATATCAATTGGATCAAGTTTACCAAAAAATGGACTGTAAAAACTACAAAAGCAACCGATCGCATAGTGATGCTTATGGATTTCTTCTTTCATATTAAGCAATTACGAGATGGTTAGTATCAAATTTTTGAATAACCTGAGACTGTCCCCTGGATATTAAATTGAAGACCGAAACGAATAATTAAGGGGGGAGAATTATCAAATTTAAAGTTTCGTACTTTCTTGTGCCCATTTCCTATCTTACAGCACCCACATTCCCCCTCTTTGTAGATACTTTGTAGCGAATGAATTCTCTTTTTTGAATAATACCGCCAGTTCTTCGAGCGGCAACTAGCCAATCAAGAATTTTACGTACCACTTGACAACAGTAGTACACGATGTTGATGTTTGTTTATCCAATTTTAGGTTAAGCCAGTTGTAAATGTATCAACGTGCTCGTCATAAATTTTCATTTTTTGCAGTTGGTTTCATCTATAAGTGGATGCTTGCATTTTTTCAAAAGTTTCTATCAGTTTCATACATTTATGTTCAACTACCTTTCATCAAATGACCAAGTATTTCCATCTTTTAAACTAGCTTCCGAAGCTCGCTTCAGCTCAAACCTGCCGAGGAGTTCATGATATCAGAGCTTCAGTGAAACTACTTGTAAGTCCTTCAATATGTTCCTTAAAATTTAATGCCACAGGTTTCATCTTTATTTCACTGATTGGTTTTAATGCAATATGTTTTTGCAGAAATGATCCCTAGGCAATCGTCAGTCGACATAATATGTCTTTTGAATCATTAAAATTATTTATGGGAGGGGCCCCATGCATCATTGTTCAGCAACAATTTAGCTTTAAGTATGAGAAGGTTAAGCAGACGCTAATGGCAGGCGGGTCTTGTTTTTCCTTTGACATCCTTGTGTTAATTACATGTCGACGGTGTAAGTCTGCAATCATATAGATGCTATTAGTGGCGACGTCATCATAGGGATTCTCCATTATATCGAATTGGATCCAAACAACAACTTTGGCATAACCACGTTCAATGCTACCGAAGCCAAAAAATCGATACATAATCGATAAACATCGCTTTTCTGTGACGTGGCACTAATAGTGTCTATGACTCGATTTGTGACATTGCAAGCTTCGTGTCGTACATTATTTTTTGAATGGAAAACTACTCAATGGGAATTCTTTAAAACTGCTGTGATTTTTCTTCTTTGTGCTAAGAAAACTCTGCATAAACTTCAAGGAATGATCTGCCGTGCTAAGGAAAAACGCCTTATGAGCCTTCAGGCGTTGTCAAATTTCCCCTGGCAAGTTACTAATTTTCAGGAAAATTTTTGAATATTTGTCTACCAATTCCTCAGATAATTTTTTTTGTAATTTGATCTAAAACTTCTTAAAATTTCAAGGAAAAATATTCATAGCTTTCCTCAAAAAGAAATAATATTGATTTGTTGTCCTTCAAAAAAATATAATGGGAGCGGAGATTTTTAAACACCGGAAACAAGATACGTGGTCAGGTAGTCTCACCGTTGATATACATTTTTCATTTTTTTCACCCTGTATCCTTTATTTTTTAGAATCACCCTAGTGTCACATTAACGTTGAAGAAACTACTTGAAGAAATGCAAGAAATGATAATTCTTAGGTACTGGGTTTATAGATCATTCTCAATTATTTTACAGGAAAGTCTTGTATCTATTTTATTCATTTAAACGTATTTGGTTCGTTCATTTAGTTTCAGATTTCAAACCAATTCATTCAGACGTACAATGAGCTCTCAGAAGGGAAACTTGAGCAGATCCAGACCCCAAAAGCATAAAAATTCTGTCGCTTTCAAAAACACCCTGCATGATAGAACCCCGCAGACCATTAAGATTGTCAACAAAAATATTGTGAACGTATGCCTCAGATGCAAAGGAATTCTTGACTGGAAAGTTAAGTACAAAAAGTATAAACTTCTGACCAAACCAGCCAATTGCACCAAATGTAACCAGAGGACTGTTCTTGAGGCGTATCACACTATCTGTCGCCCCTGTGCCAGTAAGCTCAAAGTATGCCCAAAGTGCGGGAAAAATGAATCCTTAGTGAAAGATTTGGAGGAAAAAGAAAAAGAGGAGCTCGGCGAAAACTCAACAGAGGATCTGACGGAAAATGTTAAGAAATTAAGTGTCAAAGGTGAGACAATCAACAAAATCTTTTACTTATTTTGCTTGAGATCAAGCCGATGGTTCATGTCATGTCAGGAAGCCGAAATGATGAGTCTTAATAGCAATGACATTTTAAAAAAAAATTTCAAAAACTCTTTAAAAAACTGTCAAAATTGTCGTATTAGGAAACCCTTTTTGGCTAATCTTTAAGTAAAATTTGAGAAAAAAGCGTTCAAAAAACTTAAAATATCACCGTAGATTTTTAAAATTTTTAGTTTTCAAAAACTACAGTCGATTTTTAAGAGGTTTTTCACACTCTTTTCCTCAAATACTTCTCGTAAATTTTACTCAAAAAATAGCCAAAGAGGGTTTTCTAATACGGAAGTTCTAACAGTTTTTTGAAGAGTTGGCCTTCAGAAATTTAAGAGTTCTTTTAATGTTTTTTTCAACGGTCGTTGCTACTAAGTAGCTCTGTGATTGGGGCGTATCATGTTAGCATCCATTCGCTCTCATCTGCAAACAGTTTCAAGTGGAAATTTATAATTACCATCACTTACATTTTGAATCGAGACAAATCATGGTACAGTATTGCAAAGCCGTCTTTATTTTTCTGATGGGTTCTTCTGCGAGAGACTTGCCCCAGATTGATGGTCTAGTGGGTGTTTCTGTTCATCAAGCGGAGAGAAACAGTAGAATTGAAGATGATCAGCAAGCTTGAAAGTAGACTTCTGGTGTAGGTACTCTCGAAATGGAAAACGTTAGCCCCTCTAGTTTTCAGTCTTTGAAAGCTGCAACCATATCAGAGGCAGATGTTCTGTTAATTGTTATGGTCTCGAATCGCTGAATAACTACTACTTTGAAAATAGTCCATCAAAAGGATTAAGTATAAAAGTACTTAAAGTCCTTGAATTTGAACTCTCTGCTCAAAATCCTGAGGATCTTCACTCAAAGCTTCTCTTGCGGAAGTTTGAATTAGAGGGCAAATTGAAGTATAAATGACCAAAAGCAGAAAATGCTCATCTCAATGGCAAAGTTTAATAAGTCTCCGAATAGGTTTGTTTCATTTTTATCAAGGGAAATTAATAGAAATATTTCCTAGCATTTTTTTGTGATTTTTTCAGAATATGCGAGGGAAATGCACAGTTTGCAATAGAAACTGTTGGTCAGTGTTCCTCTAATAAAAAATTATGAATCAAGAGAGGAGACTTACAATGTCTCAACCTGAGATATGCATTTTTCGACTTCAGCTGTCATTATGAAGTTTCTGAGTTTAGCCATGAATATTAACTCATTTTTAAAAAATCATTTTTTTATGGTTGTGATATTATCTGGCTGAATTTTAATCTTTGGGGTGTTTTGTTTGATTTAGTCACTGACATACCTAGTTTCCCTTCCCTTTAGTGCCTCCAGATTTCCTATGCCAGGAAAAACAGAGTAAATAGAAATAATTATTTGATATTTTAATCAATGAATGACAGGGATTTCAAAAAGAAACCCTGAAAATACAAAGAATTTAGTCACCTCACAGTAATAACAGGCAAGTACTTTACTTTTTGGGTCTCTTACTGGTCTCTTTGTTTAATACCATTTGTTCAAGTTCAGCACAAACACAGAAAAAATTCAGAAAAGATTTTGGAACTTTAGAATTTGGTATTTACCATGAATGCTGATTATCTTTGATCCAACATTAGCTAGTTTTGTGCCCCGTCAAGGTCATGAGTATGACAAAAAGATGTTCCTGTGATGCTGCTTTTAGATCATCAGGCTTATGGCAAACTGATGCTATACGCTGAAAGTGAACTGACCCTAAAAAACTAATTGCAAACTGAATGAAACAGCTCTCATAAAAGGTTGGACTAAAAATTATTTTTGCTCTGGTTAAGAAAGCTTTTCAATTGTTTGACTGATCTGTCCCTATTTTTGTGTCTTTCCAGCATCACAGGAATAAATGTTAATAATGCGTGAACAGAGCTGAATTGATAGAAATTTACCTGACACTTTGCATTTCCTTTTTTTTTCAGACAAGAAAAAGAAGAAGAAATCCAAAACTGAAGATGATTTTGACTCAAGTGACTTTGGCTCCAGTGACTTTGATTCCGATTTTGAATGAATCCTCTAGCTGTGAAGTTCCAGTAAAAAAAAAAAAAAGAGGGAGTAATGCAGGTTGTCTCTCTACCGGAGATAAGTAACTGTACACGCTGTTAATTTGAACAGCAGATTGATTTTGTCTCTTGATCAATGCTTCTAAATACTGTCACTCAATTTGACAGTGTTCAATGAAAGGGAACTAAGTTTTTCTGAAACAAAGGGCCTGTTCCTTAGTTGAAAGTATTCTCCGTAAGAGGCAGTTTTAATGAATTTGCATTGTCTCTCTTTTGATCATTTAAATTAGGAAAAATTATTGAGTTGTTGAGGGCATAATCAAATACTTAAAAATGTAAGTATTTCTTTCTTTACTTATACTTTTCCCATTATTTTTCACTCCTGTATAGTCATGATAGGACCAACCGACCACTCAGTTCCTAACAGTGCTTTTTTATTTCAGCTTTCTTCCCAAGAAGTATAAATGGCCCAACTAACTAAACATACTGAATAAATACTCAAAATTTTCTCTAACAAATTCTGTTATCTACTAGCTAATTACCAGATAAAATAACCTGAAAGTATTCAAATCAAAAATCTGACACTTAAAGTGTTTATCATGATAATTAACGCAGATTTCTATGAGTCACTTCAACCAGCATGTATTTTTTTTCTGCCAAGGAAAGGAGTTTCCCTTTGCCGATCACTGCTCAATATTTTCCTTTACAAAATGCCAACAATTAATTACCGAAGTGAGAATGTTTTCTCATTTCCTCTTTTTTAGTTTCAATTTATCTGCTAACTCTACATTTGTTCACCTGTGATATCTTGATGAATTAGCTTCGGGTTCATTTTTATTCTGACAAAAATAATTAAAACTGTCAAGTAAGTGTTCCGTTAATGTCTTTTTTTGTATCATTAAAAAGAAGTTTTTCGTTTTCATACTAAATCTATTATTTTTCAGCAACTTCAGCAAAACCTTGTATGCCAACAAATACCCAGATATATTCTGGGCCGAAAAGTGAGGTTGAGGGCACTTCAAATATTATTGAAATGAATAGGAACCTTTTTAGTGGCTAATTTCAGAGGAGACAGGGGTCAATGATCTTCTCCACTTCATAAACTTTTGGACGTGGGAAGTAAAAGAAGTTTCAAGGTTATTTTTCTTCGTTCAAAAGTTTCTAAAAAATTTCCAAAATTCTAGTGAGCAGAGTCTATATTTAGCGAAAATGAACCTTGATGATTAAAACAGTAAAATTAGTGACCTCAGCTGATATTTTGATGAAAATCGTCTGAGCATTGTAGTTTTCAAAGTATTTGTAGGAAACTGCTCAAATAGCAAAGCTTGCAATGAAATTTTTGTAGATCAAAAAATCCAAGAAATCCAGAGAGTAGGTAGAAAGAAAATACCTTGCAAGTAAACTGTATAACCCAAGAAAATACCCTGGTTTTTCTGCCTTGTATTTTCGATCTACAAAAAATCTACTGATACCTGTTGCATCTTCATGTCAATGTCATTCCTCGCTCTGAACCAGCAGGATTTCAAAAATCCCTAGTAAAAGATTAACTTTAAGGCACAATCCTATTTCAGTTTTGTGTAGAATTTAGAGACCTGCGTTCCAAGTAGTAAAGTGATCCCTCATTTTGAACATGCAAGAATAACATTTTCCCCTCCAGAATTTCACCAAACTCTTGATTAACAACACTATTAATTATGCTAAAGTTAATGATAAAATATTATTCATGAGTGAATAATTACATTTTTATTGAAAGCACTTCAGATACGTGAGAGACGAAGAATTAATCTTGCAATGAAATGCAAGCAATGCATGCAAGAAATGGAAGAAGAATGAAGAATGTCATGTAGATGCAGCAAAACCTGTTTTCTTGCACCATCTTTTTTAATAATTGGATTGCATTTTGCAAAAAGAAACCAAGAGCATTCTAATGTTGCCAGGATTGTGCAATTCACAATCTTTACAATAAAATTACTAGAGTCACGCAAGCAATTAAATTTACAAAGGTGATTTATCGTCTTGAATTTATAGTTCATCAGGAGTTAAGATAAAACCTGTTTAGATGATCAACTTTGCAACGTAAAAGCTGCAGTATCCTGGCAACATTGGAATGCTCTTGGTTCCTTTTTGCAAAATGCAATCTGATTTTTATAGAGAAAAAAAGTATAATGTGACCATTTTTCAAAGAAGAAGGATTTATTTCCATTCACCTATTTTCTTTCTTTCTTATTTATATGCCTTTTCCAAAAAAGGAAGTATTTCTTGACACACAATATACATAAGGAAAATAGAGCCATCATGCTCTTTCATTGCAGTCATTTGAAGATCAGTGACGTGTAATAGATTCAAAGTTAATCCACCAGTTTCTACCCCTTCCTGGATACAGAGTAAAAGGACTACTTACTCATAGCTCTCTTTTTATTGCATGTCCGAGGAACCCTCTTAATTCAACTCCTCAAAGTGAGATGAAGATCTCTTTGAAATTGGTTATACGTTTTTTGAGTAGTTTTCAGTACATTTCATAGGAATTGCTGGACCTTGCAGGCATGTAGAAATAATTAAGGGGCTTGAGGGATGAGGAATAAGTGCAGTTTTTGCTTTTTCAAGAAATACGTGTTTGAAGTTTCGAAATTACATAAATCCTTCCTCATGGCAGAAAGAAAGTTGAAAGTGACTTTTTGATGTTTAAAAATTAGAATTTGGGAGAACATTTTTCTTAGAATATACCTACATTAAGACTAGTTTCACTTGAAATCATTAATTAATAACTAAATTTTTTCAAAAATTGCACTTATGGACCTTGTCCTCCAAGCCCCTCAATAGACACTATGTCAGATTCTCTTCAATAAATTCCCTCCACCTTTTCTCCTTTCAATATGTTAGGTACTGGGTTTCTAAATGAATGTACCCAAGGAGCATCAGTAATATTTTCCATATCGACGGTGAAACTGCCGGACCACGTATCTCGATTTGCGATATTGTAGACTTCCTGTCATACTTTACTTTTTAAATGGAACACTACTCAAAGTCAATTCTTGAAAACTTCCTTGTTTTTTCCTCTATATGCGAAGAAAACTCTGTGAAAATTTCAAGGAATGATATTGATTTCTTCTCCTTCAAAAAAATAAAATGGGAGAGGAGATTTTTGAACACCGCAAACTAGATACGTGGTCTGGTAGTTTCACCATTGATATGCTGCCCATGGCAAAATAGCCTTGTTTAGGACAAATTCTATTACCGACATAGAAAATAGTGCTGAAAATAGGTAAAATATTGCCCTAAATAAGATTAAGTTCAATTGACTTGCCCCGCTTCGCCTTTCCACCCATCCACAAAATTTCTTTAAGTTACTGACTTCGTAGTGCTGAGGGAAAAGTCGGCACATACCGCGGTGTTCGGACATTTCGAATTTCCCTCTGGGAGTACACAAATTCTCTGAAAAAGCTCGCATTTTTCACTGACTTTTTTACGAAATTTAATTTGAGTGCGTAAACCTCGCTAAAACTTCGAGGAAAAGTATGTTCACTACCTTTTGACATGACTTAATCATCTATTTCGAGTAGGTTTGGCAACGTCTGAAGATTCTTGCTTAGTATGGCTTGGCAGTTCCTACAGGTCTATTGAATTGAATACCGAGATTTATACTTTTTGGAGCCACTGCAACTGGTGCAAGCGACGCTGGAGTAGACTTTATTGCATAACCGGCTTAATGAAGGGGAATCATAGGTTGGTCGTATTCGGCCGCTGAATGTCTCAAGCAGTCTATCAGTGTTTCTACAGCTTGTCATGCTTGCTGGATTTTTTCTTGTTTACTCTGTCGCTTTACTGCCGTGCTAAGGAAGGACGCCGTATGAACATTCGAGAGTTGCCAAATTTCCCCGGATAAAACATGTATTTTGTAGGAAATACCTATCTGCACATTTTTCTTGGAAATTTTCAGATATTTTAGAATAAATCAAGTACCAAATTGCAGGACAGTTTTGAAAAAAATATTCACAATTTTCCCAGAAAATTAGTATTCTTTTGAAGGAAATATGGCGAAGTCTGAAGGCTCATACTGCCGCGGTGCGACGTTCTTCCTTAGCGCGACAGTTTGGTCGAACGTCATTTCGTGGCCGCATCCGTGAGGTATGTCGCCGTTTTATTTTGTACCAATCCTACATTCACCCTTTATTTCAAAAACTACTGAACAAAAACCCAGAAAACTGGTAAAAACTGAAAGTCGCTGAAAATTTTGGTGAATGGAATTTTTTTTAACATATTTTATTCAATTCCAGAGAAGAGCCCCGTAGCCAAAAATATGAAACTCTTCGGTCCTTTCATATCTTTTCAATGTTACAACAATTTTCTCCGGGATAAAATGGCATTTTCATTTTTTCCCGAGTGGGAAAGTTTCCGAAGCAAGACATTCATGATATTTGCTTTTGTTTGTAAAGCAGAGACATACATTATACATTTTTGCTCAATTTCACTCTGGAGTCAATTTGTTATCTTTTTTCAGCAAACCAGTAATGTAGGAAAATTCAGACGTATCGGTGTTTGCTTGTACTCTCGCTATACCTATCCTGGAAAAAAGAATCTCTTGGATCCAGAGTCTAGACTCTAGAAAAATGACAAAAAAAAATACTCTGGATTCAATCGGATTTTTGCTTGAATCGAGAGCAAAGCCTCTCGATCCAAGCGGATTTCTTATCACCAGGCTCGGACTGGCCATAAGGTCAATCTGCCATTGGCAGATACGCCTTCTTGGCGCGCCAGAAACGCGCCCCTCGGACAGATAGCAAAATAAGAAGAGAAAAAAAATTACGACCCAGAATATGTGCGGAAAATTTCTTATATGAACTGAAGAAGAGAGAGTAAGGAGTAAAGAAATGTGCTTTCACGCATGATAGTGATGAGCAAAGGTCCAAGAACTACTTTCTGGGTCGTAAACACTTTTCTGTGAAATTTTTGTTGATATGAAGGCGCTTTATCATACCCCTCCTTCATTTGCTATGTGTAACTCCCACAGAAGCGATAGTCTGTTTGATTTTTAGACATGCGCACCCTTTTTAGACATCTTTAGAGACTTTTAAACATATTTCTTGCTTTTCAAAATGACTATTGACTTGGACATACCATAGCATATCTCGGGAAAACTTACCTTTAATTTATCTCGAAATTAAAAAATAAAAAAAAAGAAACATCTAATAAAAAAAAGAGACATCTAAAGTGTGAACGCGATACAACTATTCGCGCGAGATGGGTGTCCACAATGCATATAAAAAATGTAAGACGTGATGGCGTAAGTCGTGAACTCGCAATGCTCCGCTCTATGCTACTAGTTTGAAGCACCATTTCGTAATGGTGACACAACGCAACGAAGATAACGGATAAGACGAACGTAAACAAACACAATGAAAATAAAACGAGGGAAAGGATGCGCGTTAACGACGGCGCAGGGATACAACTATTCGTACTTGATAGACGTCCGTGCTGCATCTGAAAAATTGAAGGCGCGATGACGCGGAGCGTGAGCTCTCAAATGATCTGCTATATGCTGCCAATGAGGTGTCGCTCAGATTCGGGAGAAAAGTTAAAAAAAGAGGCCCGAATACGTATTTCCCGTCTTCGGCTGCGTTGATACTAGTTCTTTCTTCTTTTTTCAGGTTCTTGTCTGATTCTTTTTTAGGGTGGTTTTTGCAAACCCACGTCTTAAGTAGTGAAGAGCCGCAGCACCAGCTCGGTTCTTTTGGAAATAATGGTGCTAGGATGCGTCTAGCGGCTTTAATTTTTTATGTTTTCTTTAATTTCAGAAGTCTGTCGGTTACTTTAATACGTTCAATTTTGCAATTTTCTCTCTCTATGATTAATGAACTTTGAACCTCCCTACTTATGCGACACATGAATCCTGATATGGAGAGTTGGCAGTTTCGAAAACGCCTTCA